AAACACACATACTGATTAGCACCATGAGGGGGCAGATACACCTTTTTGTCTGATGTTTTAAAATATGTGCAATAATATAGCTATATCCTGTATATATCACATTTAAAACAACCTTCAGTTGACCAAAGTGCTGTACAAGCAATAACTACAATATTAAATAACCCAATGGGAGTACAATAATAAAACAATAATTAAAAACATGATAAAAAGCACAATAACTAGAAACATTTTTTTTTAAACATACAAATGTAAAAATGTAATGTTCAACTAGTATTAAAAGTAATGACTAACATGAATAAAACATCTTCAGGTGTTATATATACATATCTGTCCTACACTAATAATGAAACAGATAAAATGGCATTGTATTCTGTGTACCTCATTTGTTTGATCCTCATAAATTACCTTTCAAACACCTCATCAGTTGCCTGTTTTTGACTTAGCCTACATAATTAGCCTACACCTGGTACAATGCCTTAGCCTCATATAGTCCATATTTAGCTTGATAATAGTAGTTAGATATGTAAATTAACATAATGTGTTTTTGATAGCATTGTATACCATGTGTACTTTATACGTCTGTATTATTCACCTAGTGGTTAAAGCACGTTATTACACGTTTACAGTCATTGCAATGCCGGTAAGGTTGTGTTGCTAATCTCTGCTGCATGTTTTGTTGAATGGGTTACATTTGATGAAAACATTTAAATATTAAGAGTACATACAAATAGGGGGAAAGTAGAAGGTCAATGATAGAAATATAGAATAGAAATATAGAATAGAAAATATCAACAAGATAGGCTACTGTAAGTGATCTCTACAATAAAAGTTTAGTGCCGGATGTACACAGATATTAATAGGAGGATGTGCAAATCAGGCAAACTAATCAGGCTTTATTAAAACATTAAATAATACTTTAAGTTAAGGTCTTTTAAATACATGTAAGCAAAAAGCTTTGGTAAATCTACAGATAAATATTAAGCCTGACAAAGTACTTAAAGTCTAATATTCAGGGTTGCCAACTTTGGGTACCTGGCTGGAGTGAGATTTTGATATCATGGGTTTAATTACACATATGCGCACTAAATGACTGCTATCATGTCAGTAGCGGGACCTTAGCATATATATTGGATATATATACAATATATGCAAATACACAATATTGGACACAGACTATAAAGGGCACAAAGTTTCATTCACTAATGAAAGTCAAACACATGTTTGTTTCCACTATTTTATTGTGCCTGTAAGCAAAATAAGCAAATAATTGACTTATCGTACGATAAATAAAAATGAACTCGATAAATTGCCATTTACATGAGGATGTGACAAGCAGTTTGAAAGGATGTACTTGAATTATTATTATATATTATCATTATGTCAGTGGTCTAAAATGGTCATACAACGGTGCCGACAATATTATCGTTTATCGCAATAATTTCCGGGAAAATGTATCCAACAAAATAAATTATCGTGAGAGGCCTATACATGAAACACACACACACACACAAATCTACAGACTTACTCCAAACTGCCAAATATATTAATTAACACACTCTCACTCTCATATACTCTTTGACTCTATTTTGGCCTAGTAGAACAATAAGCAGCAGACTTTTACTTTTGATCATTTCTACTGGATCTTAGATCTGCGCATGCGCAATACGGGTCGGGGATTGACCAACCGGCTCCCACTGCTCTGCTGTCTGTTAACGTTGTTAAGAGTGGTGGGGGCGGGGAGGGAGCGGATTGACAGCTTGAGCAGCTGTCAACTCAACATTGTAAATAACCAACCAAAAAGGATCGCCGGTTCATCTTGTTTTTGGCGTGAGAATAGTTTGGGCAGCGTGAGAGCGTGAGATTGAGAGTGAAAGCGTGTGTCACACGCCAGATGCGTGAGAGTTGGCAACTGCATAATTTGTTTTGGGACTTGACAATCAACTTTCCTGCAATGTTAACTACGTTTAAGCACTTATTTTAACTGACATTACATATTAATTATACTCTTATAAGATGTATGTAGATAGTATAAGAAATGTGCAGAATATGACTGTTTAATGGTGGAGGTATAAACATATTGATAGATCTCTTGTAATGCACTGTTGACGAACCTGCGAGGTTTGTCATTCATTGCATAACTACACCGTAGTTGTGTATATGATATGTCAATAAACCTTAGAACATCTTGAAAGGGATGTGCCAAATAGGTTAAGGTTACCCTCTGAATTGTGGTGGAGTAGAATTACAAAGTAACAATAAATACTGCTGACAGTTAATGTATCAACGTCTCCATTACAAGTTTCAAAAACTAAACCTTTCTTATTTACACTATTGTCTTTGATTTATTTCCCAAATTATGTTTGTGAATTTAATGATTGTCAAATACAGTTCAACTGGGGAGTAAAACTGTTATAGCAAACCAGATAAGTCACATGTTGACCTGACAAATCTACATTTTCAAATAGTGCTTTTAACAGGAGCCAAATTGTGCTACATTTCAGGTGAATACTTTGATAGTAGGTTTAGAATAAGTTTCTAGGTTTTAACATAATGTTTCTCATATGGTCCGTTGCTGCAGGACTGTCACATATCGTCTTTTAGAGATGCTCCTGATGTTCCGGTCCCTGGCATTTAGAAGATCTGGTCTGCGTTTCCACGTTTTGGGGCAAATTCAAATTGTACCAGTATTATTCATGACATATACAGAAGACCATAACAAAAATTGATATCTATCTTGTGTTTTAAGACTGAGGCAGCCCGAAAATAATGATTGTCACATTTGCATTAACATACCAAAACTAAAACATTTTAAATGGCTTTACCCTATTGAGAAATAATTGTACAAAAAATACACAACAGAAACAACAATTTATTGAAACAATTTATTGAAAAAATGTATTGTGTGTGTGTGTGTGGTGTGTGGTGTGTGTGTGTGTGTATGTGTGTGTGTGTGTGTGTGTGTGTGTGTGTGTGTGTGCGTGTGTGTGTGTGTGTGTGCGTGTGTGTGTGTGTGTGTATGTGTCTGTGTGTGTGTGTGTGTGTTGTGTGTATGTGTGTGTGTGTGTGTGTTTGTGTCTGTGTGTCTGTGTCTGTGTGTGTGTGTTATTATGTTGAGCTGCTATAGTTTTGGGCAGGCTCCCATGTGTCCTCCCAGTCCTTGCCACTGCAAAACACACATAAAGAACAGTTGAATAATTATTAATATGTCATGCTATATATATTTCTGATGCTTAATCAGGCAAGTAAGTCAATTTAAAATAGGATTTGAAACATTAGCTTCAGCTCAATGTCCCTCTTCGACTCCTCTCTCCCCCTCCTCCGGGACTTGACCCGGAAATCAATCAAGACACGCCATGTTGAAGGACGTCACAATCGCTTCAACGCAAACGGAGGAGTCGAGGAGGGGTGAGGGAGGAGGCTTCCAGAGGAGACGAAAGGTAGGATACACGAGAGCACACTACTCGCGCATCAGACCTCCGCCCCCAGCTGCACAGCCTCTGCTCACTGCAGCTGATCTTACCGTTAAAGGAGTCATTAAATGTTTAAAGTGCTTCATTAAGAGTAAAATATATTAAATCTCTTAAACGAATCAGGAGATCGAACTCTATAAAGACATTAAAGTGTGTGAAATATACTTACAAATTCTATAATAATTTTTTGATTATAAAATAATAACGTACTGTTCTTACTTGTGGTTTGTGATGCATGTGTGGTAGACCCACAGCACGTCAAACATTTAGGATATATACAAATACGGGTAGCATAACTAATACATATGTTAGTGATTTGTGTCTCTCTTCTGTAGGACAAATTACATAACAACATACAATACAAAAGTATTCAATTGAGATGAGCCTACTGTATCAGTGTATAAACCCTTTGCTTCCAGTACAACACATACATGTATGGTCATTAAGGAAAAACTTACCACTTGGAGCATGGTGTCCAGCGAATTTTCACTTCTTGTCTTTGCTGAAAGGCATGATATGAAATGGACAGAAATATTAATGAGAGATACTTTACAAAGTTAGGTGATACAACTTTACAGAACATTATTTGTACCATTTATAGACCATCAATAAGGTTAGATTTCTACACATAAACAATACTAACAGACAACAGCATCTGAAACCAGAGATACAGAAGAATCCACTATCGTACCAGTATGGAGCAGCTTCTTTAAGACTGGGAGTTTCCTACAACACAAGGTTATAAGGTGATGCAAAACGTAGTCCTGTAATGCTTACAATGACAACAAAAGGTGCAGTGTCGAGGATGGATTGAGGAACCTCACTGCTCCATACTTGTACGATAGTGGATACTTGTGTATCTCTGGATTCAGAGGCGTTATATGTTAGTATCGTTTGGGCTCTGTGCAGATATCTCACTGATGGTCTGTAGACGGTACCAATAATGTTCTGTACGTTTTTATGTTATTTAACAAGAAAAACAAAAAGGAAGAAATTATAACACACTTACATTAAAAACTCTTCTTTCCCCAATGCTCTCATAGAGGAACACCTTCTGGGTCCTGTGTTTCCTGCATTCTAAAAATAAATAACACCATTTTAATAATTAGGTAATAAGTCTTCCAAACAATCATTTAAAGAAATGTATTGTATAGTATATAGTATAGTATAGTGCAAATCAAACCTTTTCGACTTTTCTTTGACGGTGGAGGCGGTGGAGGAGAAGACAAGGAGGAGAGAGAAGGCTGGGAGCATGGAGGAGGTGGAGGAGAAGACAAGGGGGGGAGAGAAGGCTGGGAGCATGGAGGAGGTGGATGAGAAGACAAGGGGGGGAGAGAAGGCTGGGAGCATGGAGGCGGTGGAGGAGAAGACAAGGGGGAGAGAGAAGGCTGGGAGCATGGAGGCGGTGGAGGAGAAGACAAGGGGGAGAGAGAAGGCTGGGAGCATGGAGGAGGTGGAGGAAGAGAAAAAAGATGGAGAGTAAATGTCTCCGGAAGCTCTGGCTCTGGCTCTGGCTCTGGCTCTGGCTCTGGCTCTGGCTCTGGCTCCGTCTCTGTCCCTCGCTCCGTCTCTCGCTCTGGCTCTTGCTCTGGTCCAGGGGGGGCTGGTGGACCAGCAGATGTCGATGCAGCTTGTTGTGCAGCACACACTGCAAATGTTGAAAATAATACAAGGGAAAATTAACAGAACACATTTTAAGGAAGACTTATTTTTGGCCTTACTTGCAAGAAATTAATTAAATGCATTGAATTTCCCTCTTATTAGAAATCAACCAGGTAGTTCTTAAGTGAATGAAATGCAGGTAGTGTGAAAATAATGTTTTTAAGCTACCACAGCTGACTGTAGACATATTGCTATGTTTCTCATATCAGTGTTTAACACAACAACTTATCGTATTTAGTTAAGACCATGATCATAATAAAAATGTAGTTGCAGTCTGGAGCAGCTTCTCTCATTAAACTAGAAATAATTTAAAACTTGCAGATAAATACATTAAATCTGTAATGAAACATGGTGATAAGACTTTTGACAGGTTGTTGCCGGGTATGTTTTTGCAAAGAACCACGTGCGTCTCACAGAAGAAAATAGGCATGACTTTTCGGATGCCCAGATAAAAAGCATAAGCCGTAATGATAAGCACACGTGCAGCGTACGGCACCATGTGTGTCCTGGACATTAGGGTGCGAGGTAGGAGTGTCATGATGTCTAATTTCATTGAATGTCTTTTGCCTCAACTCGTCTCTCGAGGTGTCTCCTCCTCTTCTCCCATCTCATGTGAGAGGGATTAAGACATGAAGAGAGGAGGCAAGAGTTACAAACTGGGAAAACAGAGCAGCCTCATATCTTTATGATGCCTGCAGAGATGTGTTTGTATTACAGACACATGCATAACGTGCATGCTTGCTAACTACAGGTGAGTAATGTCGACATTTGCATTCAATTCAACCCTTTAAATATTTGTGTATAGCACATTTCAATGTTGTCCAAAGTGCTGTACAGGCTTAAAACACAATACAAAATAAAGAAATATGCATACAAATAATTAATTATAAATAAAAACTAAAAAGTAGGTAACTGCAATACCATTAGTGTGGTACCCTCATATTAGTATCTTAGTGTTCACAGTGATAACATGCTGGCCCTGACAAGCCCATGTTGACAGCCTTTGTTCTATAATACAGCATAGGTTGTATTATATAAAAAAGGCTCAGGGGGGGGATGACATTTTAATGATATAACGGGATAGATGTAACAGAAGTGTGAATTTGATGAATGCATTGACACAAAGCCCATGGACGACTACACAATGAGATAATAAAGTACAAGTATGATCTTACTTTTCAGGAGGTACTCATAGAGTTTCCTCATTTTGAGTAGGATCTCCCTAACGACCCCATCAGCATTTCCAAAATGGTGGACCAGATCCCCACGGATCTCCCCACTGCGGCCCTTATTGGAAAGGAAAAGGACCGGGCTGGAGCCAAGGGTGTGTAGTTTAAGAACCTGCAAGAATTGGAGCGAAAAAGATTGCATACAGGCACATTGATCAATGATACAAATCTTTTTAAAGCCAGAAAAATGGTTTCACATTCACTGAGGGCAAGGCTGTTTGACAAATAAGATATGTAATCGTCTGAGAGGCCAAACATCTTAAATAATAAGTCATTTAAACTCACAGATAGCTCGGCCGACTTAACGGTCCTGCTGGCGTTCCTGTTGCTCTTCACAGAAGCCCCCCAGCTAGAGTCCTTTAATTCCGCTTCTTTTTTTTAAAATGTTTTATTTATTTGAAGGGGGCAGACACACACCACACATGTTTTACGCCCAAGGGAATTTGGGGCCTGGCAGGAGGGGCACAGTTGTTTTTTGGGCTTTGTCATTCTGCAAATGAAAGTTAAACATAGAGGGATTATCTCAAAAATGTTTGCTGTCAGTTGATCAATTTGTTCTCAAATACACAAATATGTTATTAAGTTCATGCTCTATATTAAATGCAATTGGAGAGACAGAAGATACAGTCTAATATGCTGTGAATACTTGAGATAGTGCGCAAACTTCCAATGGTTTGAATCAAATTAATATATTCATATGTGAATATTCAATATATTCAAACACAAATGACAAGTGGGGTTTTTGTATAATAGAATGTAACATTTAAACGCCAATTAACATTCTGTTAATAATTAGGCTAATGTGTACTGACTTCTAATGTACTGTGTAATTTGTTCACATATAAACATCATGACATTAAATTATGGCATTCCTTCTTGATGACAGCTTATGGTAAAAAAAACAAATGACCAGCAACCGCAGTGACGCGTCCTAAACATTTTACGTCATTACACCGAACATGTAAAACACTCCCGCTAAGTAATAAATAATAAATAAATAATAATAATTACAAATACTTTCGCTCCAGAGAGTCCTCTTTGTTTTGATGAGCGATACAACTAACAGTGCTAGCTCCTTTGATGACTACGACATTGTACTAACACAGCTAGCTAGCCACACGGTGGCTAATGCTAGCTTCTAAATGATCCGTTATTACAAAAAAGAAAATAACTGTTACAGACTACATTTTCTTTAAGTTTCTCGTACTGTCTTACGAATCCTGCTGCCTGGGTGGGACTTGAATACATAACCCAAATATTTTATTTGAGTTATATTTGAATATTGTCGAAAATTAAGTGAGCAGTCGAGTTTATTACAGCTTACCTTGCTGGTGTCTCAAGGTTCCGAGCAATGTATCACGTGAACTACGTGACCTCGAGACCTGGCCTTGCGAAGATAGCTGAGGATTGTGGGTAGTGTAGTGTCTTCGGCCATCCAAAACTCAAAACTACTTGTTTCTCAGAATTGAAGGGGAAAACGTGACAAAAGCATTTTACACTAAAGCCTATCAATGTCGTTTCATTAACAAGGATAATCTGGTGGTTTTTAGTTAATAAGTAGTGCAGATATCACCTATTTATGTTTAATCCAATCACAGAGCTTGTTGACTTATCACGAGGTTTTGTCGCAAAGCGGACAGACAATCACAACAATAGCTGGGGATTGTGGGTAGTGTAGTCTCTTTGGCGCTCCACATTTCAGAGAAAACAAGTTGTCTCAGAATTGTAGGGGAAAAACACAAAGCATTGTACACAATTTAAACCTATCAATGTCGTTTAATTAACAAAGGTAATCTGGTGTTTTTGAGTGGATGAGTAATGGAGATATCACTGTCAAATCAATCGACAGTAAGGAGAATACTTACTTCCGGGTGTACAATTCTCCGTTATCCAATGGGAATGGACGCTCACATTGCCTTTAACAGCTGCCGACACAAACGAATGCCGTGCTTCCCTAAGCGTCAAATACCGACGCCGATGGGAATACATTGCAATCAGTTGAAAGCTCTTTGCATCCGTTTATGACGCTGATGGAAACTCGGCGCGTCACAACTGGACGCCACGGAATTCTGACCAAGCGTCGCTCCTGGACGCGTTGGGAGTGAGAGTGTGTTGGATTTGGCAAAAGAAAATGTAGAGACAGGTGAAGTCAGTAAAACAAAGGAGGAAGATATGGATAGTGAAACGCATATGGAAAAAACAGGAGAGGAGAAGAAAACATGGGGTGAGCAGGTGGAGGTTGCTGAGATGCAGGGGCGGACTGGGACTAAAATTCAGCCCTGGAAACTGACCCAGTCCGGCCACATGAAATGTCAAATGTTAGAAATCCGCTGTTTATTATTTAAAGTTTTACGTCCGATTCGCTCCTTTTTTCCTCTCTGTACACAGCTCCAGTTTGGGCATTGGCCTGTCATCAGATTTAATTTTTAGTTGCTGCTGTAGCGGAAGTTTAGTCAAATTATTTTTGATGAAACCCTCCATAATTGCACTTGCTTCAGTTGCTTGCTACTTTATAAGGGCGGTGATGACAGTTACAGTACGAACTGAAGTTGAGGCAAGGGAAGCCAGCCGCCTCTGGATTGGCCTTAGCATGGCCCTGACCAATCACAGGTTGGCAGGGGCATGACGTGAGCCTCATCTGATTGGTCAATCCCTCAATTTTTTCAAGGGAAGCCAATTTCGGCTAGCCTCCTCTCGCAACAGAGAGTGCAATCTATTGTTTCACCATAACATCTAGAGGGGCGCTGTTTCACTCTTTGTAAAATACTCAATGAGAATGGGGGAGAGATGGGCCGGCAGCAACACACAATACAGAATAATTACCGAAACTAAACGAAGTGTTTTTATTCATTTATTAAAATTATAACTACAATCCAAAAAAAAACCTTGGCCTCCAGGAGAAAACGCCACTGAGTTCAAGGGATCATTCTCACCCACCTCTTGCTCTTGCCCTGCAGTTGTATGTGCCAGTTGAGCTGGTTCTTCCACCAGCTCAACTCTGTCCCACATCATGAACGCAGGAGGCTGGCTGTATATCTGAACTCGCGCCCTCATCATTCTCTTCATCATCTTGCACTTGTTCTAAGCTGCTGATGATAGTGCTTGTAGCAGCACTGCTGCCAAAAAGGTCTGTCAATTTGCGACATTTATATGCTTCACCTGCGAGTGACTTCACCTTTTTTTCTCTTGCCTTCTCGGCCCCACCTTTTTCCTTTCGTTTTCTTTGATTTGTATCCATGTTTATTCATTCTCCCTGTCTGCCGCGGCGTCTAATCAAGCCCCCAGGAAGTGCGCTGGACTCAGATGAAAATATTCGTGGTGGCCAAACTTCGGTACTACACTTCCGTTTGGTTGCCAGGCCCGGAAACACTTTTTCCCATTGACTTACATGGGGAAAGAGTGGTTTGTAAATCGTTGGATAATTTTTTTTAAACTAAATAAACTACCCAGTATGAACACTTGTATAGCCCTTATTAAAAACATTCGTTCCTCAAGTTGTAAAAATGTGCTAATAACGTTATTCTGAGAGTTATTTCCCTCTGCATTATGAACGCGCATCTAACCCACGGGACCGCGCCGCCCGGCACGTTCATGTGATGTGACGTGTTCAGTACTACATGAGTTTTACCTCTACCCATGGATGCACAATAATAACGGACCCATATCGCCTTACCGTTCGGGTGTTCAGAGCAGAGCTCCCTGTTGGAGCGGCAGAGCGTGATGTGAACAGAAAAATGTTTCTGTCGCAATATTATTTAAGGAATCGTTGAGCTAGCTAACTAGCATACATTGTCACTATCTGCTAACATTAGCTTTAGCCTTCGTTTTCTAATAGTTTTTTTCATAGGCTATAAACAGAGGTGGTATAAGTATAGATCTTGTACTTGATTAAAAGTAGAAGTCCTCAGATCTTGTACTAGACAGTAAAAGTAGAAGTACTCAGATCTTGTACTAGAGTAAAAGTAGAAGTACTCAGATCTGGTACTTCAGTCAAAGTAGAAGTACTCAGATATTGTACTTGAGTAAAAGTCGAAGTACTCAGATCTTGTACTTGAGTAAAACAGAAGTACTCAGATCTTGTACTAGAATAAAAGTAGAAGTACCAGAGTGTAGGAATACTCTGTTACAGTAAAATTCCTGCATTCAAAATGTTCCTCAAGTAAAAGTAGAAAAGTATTCTCATCAACATATACTTAAAGTAGCGACAGTAAAAGTAGTCATTGTGCAGATTGGTCCATTTCAGAATAATATATATGATATGTTTTATAATGATTGATCATTACAGTGTTCTCAAAGCTGGTAAAGGTGCAGCTAGTTTGAATGACTTTGTATACTGCAGGGTAGTATGTTATCAGCGTAATATAAAAGTACATAACGATTTATGGTCACATTAGCATAATTACTAGCTAGCCGCTAACTGCTAACTGCTGCGGCCGCCTCGTTAATATCAAATCCATCATAACAATCCAGTACCATGCTAATCCAATGTGTCTGTGTCACTTTGAAAGGATTACTGATAATCCATCATTGCATTTTTATGTAAAAAACGGAGATTTCATATTATTTTTATTTTTATAAACCTCTCTAAAAAGGTCAAATGTCACTTGTTTTGCATCAATCTTGATACAGGGTACTTATTATATGTTGTAGTTTGGATTCCTAAAGCTTTTAGTCTACCATCCCATCATTCAAGGGTGGTTTTCACTATAAGTAATGTTTTTTTTTTAGGCGGAGGTAAGACTTTACCTTTTTTTACAATGTTCCATCTGAATTTACTCTGACACAGAAACATCTATATTGATTCTGACTCTTCTACATCCAACTCACAGATGTAACCTTGCTTTGAGAAAAAAGATTATTAATTTAACCTGGTCCCACATCAGAGAGAATAGAATCTCATCAGCTAGACTAGATCGTTTTTATTGTTTTAAGCATCATTTTAACACTTTTAAAATGTGCAGTATATCACCTGCTGGTTTTACGGATCACTCTTTGCTTTTATGTAATGTTTTTATTAGAAATGTTTTGCCAAGAAGTGCATATTGGCATTTTAACTCGGTTTTAACATTTGATAAACATTTTAAAGAGGCCCTTATTTATTTCTGGAGTGTTTTTAGGCAGAGGAAGGGAGATTTGAGCAGTCTTAGGCAGTGGTGGGACCATGGTAAGACTGAGATAAGATTGCTCTGCCAACAGCACACCCTCAATGTCACACAAGGCAAGGCAAGGCAAGGCAAGTTTATTTATATAGCACCTTTCAACACAAGGCAATTCAAAGTGCTTTCAAAAAATGAAAGACATTAAGAAAATGGCATTTAAAATCAGTCATTAAAAAGAAAAGATAATAAAATAAACATTAAAAGAAAAAAATACATGGATAAAACACAAGGCATCATCAGATCTATGAAAGACCTGGAGAGCAGGGGCGGATCTAGAAAAATATTCATGGGGTGGCAAGAGGGTGGCAGGAGATTTTGAGGGGTGGCAGAAGTATATGCTGATTTAATTGCAGTCATATCAATCAATGTTAACAATCAATGTTAGACCCCCACAAAGAAAAAAATATATATACACAGATACA